AAAAAGCAATTTAAAAATCACCCACAGAGCCAGATTTTTCACTGTTGGAATAGGAGGTTACACGTAAGCAAGGGCGAAGGCTACAGTGATCTAAGTGGCAACAAATTAGAGTTGGAGGCATCAATGTAAATTCATTTCTAGCTTAATATAGATATAGATAGTCATATAAAAAACTACATAGACATGCATGTACATGGTTTAGTATACACCATGCATTGTCTTGCTCTGTCAGGTGAGGGGGCAGAAGCAATGACACCTAATAGGAAACAGCACATCTAGCAGCCAGATCTTGGTTTCTAATTCTAATGCCACTCTTCAATAAAACAAACCAGAGCTCCTTGGAGAAATGGCTGACTCTAGGAGTAGTGCAGGAAAGATACAAGACGAGCCTGGAGCATCTTGTAGTACCAGAAAGTAATAAATACTCAAAAAAAAAAAAAAAAAAGCACCTGACAATAACAGGGTATGTTAGAGGGAGCTAAATGAAAGAGCTCCCAATGGCCAAAGTTGGAACAATTTCAGTCACGAAGTAGTATCAAATTATAACCCAAGGTAAAAAGGAAATATCCAGAAATATCCATAAGTCCATACTGAAATAAAGGATTGAAGGATGAATGAATGAATGAATGGGGAAACAAGGCAAATATCCTGCGCAGAATAATTCCAAATAATTTATGTAGATTCGAACTCAAGGAGGAAGGAGATGGAGCCTAACTCCCACTCCTTAAGTGTAAGATGCACATAGTGACTTCCCTCCAAAGAACACAGTATGAAAGATGGTAAAAATATAAACTTTACAGTTGAGAAATCTGATAAACTTCAGGCAGTAATCAAGATTCACATCGACTGTTATAAGTTATGCTGATACAATGTACCCTTGATTTGATGTGATGAGAATGGAGCTCTGCCTCTGTATCCTTAACTCCCCAAAACTCCTAACCCCAGTCTATTCATAGGAAAACATCAGACAATTCCCAATTGGGGGACATTCTACAACCAGTACTCCTCAAAACTGTCAGAGTCATAAAGAACAAGCAAAGTCTGAGAAACTGTCACAGCCAAAAGGAGCCTAAGGAGACACGACTACGAAATGTAACGTGGTATCCTGGGTAGGATACTGGAACAGAAAAATGACATGAGATAAAAACTAAGAAAATCTGAATAAAATATGAACTTCATTTAATAACAATGTATTAGTATTGGTTCATTAATTGCAACAAATGTATTATACTAATATAAGATATCAATAATAGGGGAAATTAGGTGTGGGTTAGAAGGAAACTTTCTCTACTACATGCAAATTCCCTATAACCTGAAACTATTCTTAAAAAGTTTTTTTTTAAATCATCGCCCGCAATCCCACCATGTAGCAATAAACAGAAACATTTTAATACAGACTTCATTGTTTTTCTATATGTATATATTTTTTTCAAAGTGGCTACATACTTAACATTTTGTAAATTTATTTCCATGTCATTATAATTACACAATTTATCTCTGCATTTACTAGTTCATGTTAGAGATTTACCATACAGTATTTAGTCAAATATATATTGGTATCTTTATTCTTTCCTAATTCTATTAAATTCATTGGAGAAGAATGTGTAGGAAATGGAGAGAGTAAGAAAAGAGAAAATAATTCTGACATTTGCTCATTGTAAGAAGAGAAGAATAGGACTGTCTGATGCTATCAGGTGAAACTCAATGGGCTGAAAAACAAGATACCCAGACTCCAGTCTCAGCTTCACAAATAACTGAGTGTGGCCTTGAAGTCACTTAATCGCTACAGCTCCTAATGTCCTTACATATAAAATAAGTTACATAATTTATTCAACAGTGTCCACTCCTAAAATCATGAAACGCTCAGGCTAATGTCAGAATCCTTCCGACGGTACCAATTGTCGATCCCTGGCTGGGTCTGGAGCTCACAAACCCCTCGAGCCCATTCACAGACTGGGTCACAAACCCTTCACATGCCAGGCTGGGTCACCAAACCCTTTACACGCATGTCTATGAGCTAGGTCCCCAGCAAACAGGTCATTGGAAGCCATAGGTTGGAAAGCATGGCCACAGAGTGACATCCACCTGAGGCAGTCACCAGCCAAACCACAGCACTGTGCTCGTGCACTAACTCCACCCCCACACAACTTGCTTACAAAGAATGCTGCACCATCCCCAACCTGCCCCAAGGCGAGAGAGCCTGACCAAACTATTCTATTTTCCCAACAAATTTATTACAGTATATTTTGCAAAAAGACTATTAGAAAATTTCATGTGGAGAAATGACCAAGTATTCTTAATGTAATTAACAGGGTGTAGAAAATGGATAATATATACATTTCCATTTTGCTATAGAGCCAAAAATTTCCCATCACGTGGTGCTAATAGAATATATTGGATAAAAAGATATGAAGATCTACCAGTTGGTTGCAAAGCATATTCTTCCCACTGAGGGAGAGGGAAGACTAGTCTATGAACATTGCAAGGAGACTGAGTTCAGCTGAACACCAGGAAAGGCAGACTTTAGGGCACAATAGAACGGGTGCCCTAAAAATAGTGAGCTCTTAGATGTGGAGAATTCTGTAGCATGGGCTGGGTGGAGAACCATCAGAAATATTATAGACGATATTCTTCCACTCACCAAGAATTCAAAGTGAATGGTCACCAAGGTCACTTTCAATTTTAAAAGGCTGAGATTTCTCTTTAATCTTATATATGACAGCATCCTTTGGACTCTTATCCTTAAGTGCTGTCCCTGTTTCTGAGCTCTCTGATGTTCATTGGTCTTGCAACCGAAGGATCTACTCCAGTAGAAAAAAATAAAAAAAATAAAAGGCATGTATTAGAAGGATGAGTCCTTCAGCTCGTTTGTATGCATAGACGGGTACCTCTCTGAGCATCTAATGAAGAACGGGTACTCTCACTGTTATTAAAAGAGTGTGCACGAAACATCTATTGAAACTCAATCTTCTCTATGAAGTTATTCTAAAAAGAACAGAAACATTGGAAAGCAGGTCTACAGCTCACAGTCAAACTTTAGAAATCGTCCTCAATATTTCTTCATATTCTTTTCAGAACATGAAGTTGTGAAAGCTAAAATATGTAAAATAAAAAAAAATACACACATTAAAATTTTTGAAGTTGGTCTGATCTGAAGGTGAGAGTTTCCTCACCTTCATACTTTTGGTTGTTGAGGGAGGAATTACACCTTCTAGTTTTCTTTCTTATAAGGAGCAAGAGACTCGCTGTTTCTATATCAGGTGACTCCGATATGTGTCCCTGCCCGCTCAGCTTCTTTCTTCGGGCGGAAACGGTACAGTGCGCGTCTAGAAGTGTTTTTCTGGAATTCCATTCACAGGAAAAAAAACAGATAGTCTAAACAAGATGGCTTGAAACAGTTCTCAGGGGTGAGAAGCAGAGAGGGAAAATGGGGGAAGGGACTGAACCCACCTTTAAGAACTTTCTGTCCTTATACCTCAAGCGTACAGAGAGTGGATGAAATATTTTATGAGAAACCACTCATTGCCCGTAGATCTTCACTTCCAAAACACACACACACACACACACACACACACACATACAAACACCCCGAACCACACGCAAGTGCTATTGGCAAATGCCTCCTCTCCAACCACCAGAGCAAGGGAGGGATCCAGACAGCCCCAGCACACCACGAATAGCTGGGGTCTCTGGCAGCCCTCAGCTGCAGCGGACAAGTCTGTGGAATGACATCGTGGAAGGTGTTGCAAGGAAATCCCTCGAACGCTTTGTGGTCTGTTGAAAATGCAGCATCATCCTCTCCGCTCCTTTTCTTCGGCCGAAAAGCAGAATTCGAGGGCACGGGGAAACAGGAGGGGCTCCCTCCCTCCACCCCCCCAACCCCCGCTCCCTCGGGCTCTAATTGCCCCTGCTCCAGCGGGCCAGCAGCACCTTCACCCATTTCCTCCTCCATGCACTCCGGCGGGGAGGCAGGAGGGAAAAACAAAACTCTAAAAATAACTGTCAGCATCTCAAAATAAGAAAGGCTTAGCTGCCCCCGCCCCCATCACCTGCTCCCGCCCTTCTGCTCTCCCTCCTCCCCGCCCCCTGCCTTATGGGGCACATGTCTGCTCCTTACAACACCGAGGCACATGGTTCCAGCGAGGCGCCGAGCCCCACAGGACCGAGAGGAAATCCACAGCTGTGGGACGCTCCGCACGGAACCACCTCCAGCGAGGGAGGCCGGGGACTGCAGCACCGAGATGAAGGGCTAGACCCAGGGAACGCTGCTCATGCGGTGAAAACAAAATTAGCAGCAAAGGGCCCGTTGGGGTGTACAGGAAGTTGCCTTCGCAGGTCCATCCTCCACCAGCTTCTCTGGCTCTAAACAGTCCCTAAAGTATTGGGCCATGAGCATCTTCACCTCACTTTCTCCTCCATTCTCTTTCCAAGGGAGTGGGCGGGGAAAAAAGTTTTTTAAAAAGTAAATGTCTGTGCTCACCACTCTACATTGCCCTACCCTAGACCCTTCTAGTTGGACACTTATTAGCGTTTTCATCGTCTCATTTTTATAGTTCTAGGTCAGAACTGCAATCCATCAGGGGGGAAAGGAAATTCACATAGTAGGATGGGTGTCTGCAAGGGGCCACCTCCACCAAGCAGGCTGGGGGACTGGGTGGAGTGGGTGGGGAGTGCTAGAGCACTGAGATGACGTCTTGGGAAAAGAACCACTCTTCCGGCAGGAAGAGTGGCGGAATCTGGGGTAAGGGAAACAAGTACAGCAGAAGCCGCCTGCTTTAGACATTTGCTGTTTTACGAAAGAGCGCAGGCCGGTGCGCCTAGGAATCACCAGGCAAAGCGATCACGCGAGCTGAAGGAAAGCAAAAGCAGTGCGGTCGGTGTGAACCTATAGAGAGGAAGCCATGGCAACAGCGGGGCTGGCTATTCTGACAAGGATAGGTGGCAATGAGGCATGGAAGGGTCCTGTGCTACACGTGGCACTGTGCTAGAGCTGGTGGAGGATGCTGCGGCAGGTGTTTCGCAGAGGGCTCCAGTCGTTCTGCCACAGGCTGGGCTTGTGCGTGAGCCGGCACCCGGTCTTTTTCCTCACCGTGCCCGCAGTCCTGACCATCACCTTCGGCCTCAGCGCGCTCAACCGCTTCCAGCCCGAGAGCGACCTGGAGCGCCTGGTCGCTCCCAGCCACAGCCTGGCCAAGATCGAGCGCAGCCTGGCCAGCAGCCTTTTCCCCCTGGACCAGTCCAAAAGCCAGCTCTATTCGGACTTACACACCCCTGGGAGGTATGGCAGGGTGATCCTCCTCTCCCCACCCGGGGACAATATTTTGCTCCAGGCTGAGGGGATCCTGCAGACCCACCGAGCCGTGCTGGAAATGAAGGTGAACCACAACGGCTGTAATTACACTTTTTCCCACCTAGCGGGGGATGGGGGGAGCCATCAGCAGCAGAAGTTCCTGCTGGATGATTTTTTGCTCCAGGCTGAGGGGATCCTGCAGACCCACCGAGCCGTGCTGGAAATGAAGGTGAACTACAAGGGCTATAATTATACTTTTTCCCATCTGTGTGTGTTGAGAAATCAGGATAAGAAATGCGTGCTGGATGATATTATTTCAGTGCTAGAGGATCTCAGGCAGGCTGCCGTCTCCAATAAGACAACAGCCAGGGTGCAAGTGAGGTATCCCAACACTAAATTAAAGGTATGCTCCTTCTGCATGCTTCTGCCAATTAAAGAGGCAGCACTTCATTTCTTGCCCTAAACAAGCAAAGAAAATGCAGAGGTCTCATCCTTAAGACTCAGAAGCTGATGCTTCTTTCATTTATGGGGGGAAAAGATGGGCAACTGAGTGAAGAAAACACAGGCAATGAATGGTACAACTAGATATTAAGAAATTCAAGGCCAAACAAAACAAATAAATGCCAAAAAATTTTTTTAAAAAGAAAAAAGAAAAAAAAAAGTTGTTTCTGAGACCCTGCAATTACATCTTTGTTCAGGGTTAATAAATCAGTGAATGGAAGGGGGAGGGGGAATCCTGAACAGTTTGGGGGATTTCTTTTCATTATGGGGCTCAATGTATTTCTTATTACTGATTACACATCCACCTGGTGCCATATCCACCTATTTACATCTTCAGCCTGGCTTGATTTTGATATGTAGGGAGTTTGTGTTTCGGTGTTTTGTGAGTGTGTGTCTGAAAGCAGTGGGTTATGAATGTAGTAGGGATTCCAGGAATGATGTGTGTGCGTTTGCATAGCAAAAGAAGCAGCAATTTTCTATGCATAAAAATAGGGATGTGTACCTAACTGATATACTACTAGTTTACAGAGTCCTGTTATCTTCCTTTCCCATTAAAAAAATAAAAATCCAAACCAAAGCAAGACGATTATACCAAACCAATAACAAAAGAAAAAAAAATCTACAGTCAGCAAAAATTACAATAAATGATTATTTCAGCATTTGATATGTTGTGCTGTTTATGCTCTCAATTCAAATTTTCTTGCTCAAATGAGATTTCTAAACTCATTCTATCTACACTGTCAGGATTGAGCTGCTGCAGGCAATGAGGCATGCAGTCTCCCAGTGACTGAAGTTTCAGGGACAAATGTGACTTCCAAAAGAGTCACTGCACCATTCGTATGCTTGACCCGGTGCGTGCTTAGAAGCTGTACAACCAAGAACTTCCAAGACAGGTGTTTCCCAAGAAGAAATATTCTTTCTTTTAATGTGTGTGCAGATGTGTGTGTGCTTCCATGGAGATAATGAAATAGGAGAAACTCCAGTTCCAATAATGGGTTAGTCTAATATAAGAAAGCACTAATATTCCTGTTTATTTATTTGATACAGTCAGCATCTATACATTTTTAAAAAATAAAATAACTTTTGCAGGACTTTTGAGAGAAAAAAAACTCTTTCCTGAATTAAAGGAGGATTTAATGCACTTATAAATTAGAGATTTCTCAGGAAACCTCATAATCTGCCTCCTTTTTATGTGGTGTCCTTGCTTAAATGGATCCATAGGCCGAAAAGGTATCAGCTTTACAAAGCTGAGCAGCCCCTTGAGGTTTAGTGAAACTAGACAGATGATTCATCAGCTTTAAATCTAGGTAAGAGCTTGCCTCCTTCACACTTATTGATGGGAGCATGATGGATATGTGTGGTTGGGCACTATGCTTTTCGTTTTGTAAATCCTTTGCCAATTAACATTATTACTTGCTAAAGAAAAGGATACAGTAAGAGGTAACCTTCCTAGCCTACAGTCTTTAAAGTGAGTTTTTTTCTACACTGAACGTCTGGAGTAAAGAAAAATTTGAAACTGTGTCATATTTAAACTTCAGCTTGTTTTCCCTGTTGAGTCAAGTTTGCAGTTCATTAGTATGCATTATTAGCTGGGTCCCTTATTGCCTTTATGCAGCAGTACTCTGTAGTTGTAAGAGCTTTGTCCAATCAGCCACTGTGGACATTTTGTTCATCTGGCAATATCTTTATAACATTTACAGTACGAATCCCTAAGGTATTCAGTTCACTCATTTAATAATCATTTATTGTACTCCTGTGATTTACTAGGTGCTCTTCTAGGCACATGAAACAGAGTTTTGGACAAGAAAAGCAAAAGTTCTTATCCTCATTGAGCTTAAAAACAATAGAGGTCAGCATCCTCATCCAGAGTTACCTGCAAGCAAGGGCTCTGCAATCTTTGGGTACACCATTGTGCCAACCCCATGCTAGGCCTATCGTAGGTGCTCCATCTAAACTTTTTGACTGATTCATTGGTGGGTATACATCTTGGCCATAGTTAGTGGATAATCATAAAAGAATGGCATAATTGATTACAAAGTTTATGTAGTAGCAGTAGAATTATTCTATTAATCATTAGAAAAACAGAAGTATTACCCATTTGCTAAAGTGCTTATTCTGCTACATTCTAATATCAATGTTTCCTCTAATGTGTTGGCTTGACTATCTCTGCATGGCATCAGTGGGGCTCTTTAAGTTATGTTTGGGTAAATGAGCCCTTTGAAATCTGAGAGCAATGGGCCCTCTCAAGTGTCCAGACCTAATCTCACACATGTTCATGCAATATAAAATACAATTTCATAAAGTGAGTACCACGGATACTTAAAATCCTTTCAAAGAGTCTCCATGGGCTCCTAAAATCCTTTCCAAGGGTCTTTCATGGCTCCTAAAATCAGAACTCCCCAGCACAGTGCAAAGTGAGATAGCTTTCTGTTTTGGTTACATGTTATTTGGAAATGATTTTAATTCATGTGTGGCACTGGTTCTCAAAGTGTGTGTCTATAGTGCTTATGAACACTAAAGCTAGAGGACTCTTGATGTAGGAGATTTCAGAGAAAATTTTATGTGTACATTTTTTAGCCCTATAATTTATTAGACTTTCCTCTCTCATACTTGGGGCACCACTCTTCCCAACTCTGTCCAATGTGGAAAATTTTGGTGAAGGAAAATGTGATTGGTGGGCATGGAATCAGGAATGGAAGGAAATTGCAGAATAAATAGCAGTGGCTGGATAACGTGAATAGGAATCGGTACTGACTTGACATGAAAGAAGCAGTAGGTCGGTGCTTGGAGATAATCTGATGATGTATAAACACTGATTGACAGAGAGAAGTGGTCAAAACCTTAGTTATGACAATCAGAAGATCATCTTCCAAATAACATTAAGACACCCAAGCAGTCCTGAGCACAGAAAGGTTTAGAACTTCTGATAAACGTGATTATCTTGACAAGGTGATCCAGACAAGCAGGGACACAGAAAGTTGCCTTGTATGGAATTCCAGAGAGGCTTAAATAAAGCTTGTATGAAACAAACAGCAGCCAGCTTAGAATACTACAGAAGAAATGAAACGTGCACACGATTTCAAAAGCTATGTAGAAAAGATACCAAAACCTGAAATCCCTACACCTGTATAATGTGAACCCTACAATTGTGCCCTTAGTTATGATCTTTTCTTTTTTTTTTTTTTAAAGATGACCGGTAAGGGGATCTTAACCCTTGACTTGGTGTTGTCAGCACCACGCTCAGCCAGTGAGCGAACCGGCCATCCCTATATGGGATCCGAACCCGGGGCCTTGGTGTTATCAGCACCGCACTCTCCCGCGTGAGCCACAGGCCGGCCCCTTAGTTATGATCTTTACATAATGTCCCTGATTAACCACGAAGGTCATGGCTCGTACTCACCCTGTGCTACTCACTTCTTCCACCTCAACCCTTGTCCAGTTCTACGCAGGTAGTACTCACAATGAACATTCGCTGATTAGTTTATTGATTATTTTGTGCATTTATACTACAATATCACAAAATTCTTATCACTTTTTGAACCACTGTGGCATGCCTTTATTTTAAAGTTATTCTCTATATTCTTCAAATTTCTGTAAAATGCTTTTGAGTTCAGTAATTTGGGGGCCATTTTTTTTCACCTATTAAAACACACATATCATATAAAGCAATACACTGTCGCCAGACTGGATTTTTAAGTAAAATACTTAACAGAATTTTGAAACCAGTCTCTTGATTAAAGTGAAACAAGCATTCAGAATCCTTAAGCAAGGGCTGCTCTGGACCCCAAGAAATGTTTCATTATCATTCAAGGAGCTCAGGTGGTTACAGGTAATCGTTGTCTCCTTCTTAGGTAGACCATCATAACTTCACTTTTTCATTTGGCTAGTTCCATAAAAGTAACTATTCTCATATGTTCCCATTTCTTTATTTTGGCCACAGTAAAAGACAAAGGTAAGGATTAAGTAGACAAATGTGGTCCTTGGAGGTGGGTTTGATTGCAAGAAAAGAATGAAGCAGATTTTGCTTCCCTGCATCCTATTCTTCCTGCTAAATTCCATTAATAACCACTCCTCTAAACAGATGTTAAACTGAAGTCAGTATGTACTTCAGTGGACCACATTTAAGAATAGGATCAAGGTAGACTTTCCTCCTTCTTAACAGAAGACAGGGTTTCTTTGGCTACATTTTGGGTGTGTCCTCCAAGTTTGGAAGAAGTTGTCATTAACTATTTAGTTCCAGTCTCAATGGAAGGGCAACTTAAGCCAATATCAAAAGTGAGGAGGAACATTATTTGGGGGGATCTGTAAGAAAAGTTATTCTATAGACTTCTTTCCCTAATTCATTCTAGAGCCTTAGAAGACATACATATCAGGATATTCTCTGATATATTGGTTTATGCTTACCTTTCTGATTCTATCTCATAATAGGGGAAAACATTAATGAATGTTTAGTTTGTGTCCTACATGGTGCACATCATGTCACTTAATTTCCAGAGGTTTATGAATCAGGGAGATTATTTTTATTCCCATCTTATAGGTAAGGAAACTGAAGATCAGGAGGTTAAGTGACTACCATGAGGTCCCCAAGCTAGTGCATGCTGGAGCTGGGATTTAAATCCATGTCTCTTGGTACCAAAGCTCATCTTAACCACAATAAGGTCCTATCACTGTGCATCATTCTATGTAACAACAGCCCTTTGTACTAAGAAAGAAGTAGGGCCATGATTCCTAAGCCATCTCAAATCCAGGCTAAAAGACCATTACTGATCTTTCACACCAGTCTCCTTGCTCACTCAGACTGACTGGCTCCTAAGGAGGTTCCATGGAGTGTAACTTCCTACCATCTGCCTACTGTGGACAGTTTAGTAAATTCCTGAGTGGCACATAATTTCACCTTTTATA